AAATAATTCTCAGAACTGCCGTAAACATTAGTATCAGTATCACTAACCGTATCTTCATCTGCTTTTCGTGATTCACGTTGTGGAGTTGGGAATACACGAGGTGTAAATTTGATTTCAATCGATCCTTTTGTTCTTGGTGCCGGGGTAGGTGCCTTACCGGTCTTTTCAGAACCTGAAAAGAAACAGAACTCTACCTTTATCTCTCCATGTTCATTCATTTTCAAATATTCATTCAGCTATTTTAATATTTCAGGAAGAGAGAGAAAAGAGAGAAAAGATAATCAGTGCTTTGAATATAATTAATATTATTATGATTGTTGAGAAAATTTGAATATTTACTATTTTAGCTTATTAATTTTATTCCTTCAACATTCCAGGGCAAATAACTAATTTACGTTTATCAACTATTTTTTTTTGAAGATCTTGGTCATTCAGCATTTGCTTACATGTTGTGTAAAAAAAGAATAAATTTTACCCAGGTTATAGCAAGTAACAACGATAACAGTCTACTGATATAAATTGTATATGTAAAAATGTATCAACTACGAGTTCACTTCATACATGTGTACAGCCAAGTCACAGCCATTAGATTATTCTGTAAAGACCATAAAAACCACAAAGTACAACTAACACTTATGCATAAATATTAACTTTTATTGTATAATATTTTCTCTCATCTGAATGTTTATACATACCTGGTATGCATCTGGGTGCAACTGATGGGGGCTCCCTTGAAATGTCCGTCTCATATGCTACTATGCCAGCTTCATTAAAAATGTTTTTATCACTGTCTTCTGGAATTAATTTAAAAGAAACATGTTACATATAGATGTATACTGATTCAAGATCTTTGAGAACCAACAATTAAATTACATTGCTACTTGAGCTGTCTACTACTTTCTAAAATTGACAATTTGTATGTAAGTGCTCCATGCATTTAAATAAACCATATTTTGGTCATAACATTCCTGGAGCATATCTCCATCTCTGAAAAGCATAGCACATGGTATTTGTTACAGTCCCCAGTGAATGTTGCCATATTTTTCAACATTAAGTTAAGGGAACGCAATGTTTAACTGCGGAGAGACGAATCTATATTAGAATTAAAGGGTGGTGATTGTGTGATCAAATTCCATGTAATCAAACATTTATTTTGATTACAGTATTTTACATTACATTAGGTATTTTACACGGCTTGTATTTTTTTCCACAAGTCCCATATCGAACAAGACGCAGCGCTACAATCACAGCCATTCAAAATTAATTCATACCATTATCATCATCACTGACTTCAACTTCATTTGCAAGTTCTTCAGATTGTTGTTTTTCCTTCCATTCTTCCAACTCAGCCATGGCCTGGGTTCTTTCCATATCAATCGCTTCATCCACTTTTGTTTTTCTTGTGCTTCAAGCTATTTAATAGAATAAAAAATTTGAATAACAATAAAGATACTCAGAAATTTACAACAACGTCTAAAGAAAAAAATCAGAAAGACTTTTATATAACCACCATAGAGGGAGCACCAACATAAGAGAATGGTATTTTTTTTGTACCTCCATCTGTTGCTTAACAGAGTATCTTTCAGCTTCACGTTTCTTAACAGCTTTGTCATTTTTTTCCTGCTCAGCCCTGGCATGCGCAGCTTCTACAGCAGCCTGTCTTTTACTTTTCATGACATCTTTGTCACCTATAATGCAAAATACAAAGGAGCTCTCCTTATTTGATAAAATAATATGAGTGGATTACCTTGTCAGTTTATTTTTTCTGAGGTTGGGAAACACTAATTGGAATTTCTAGAAAAATACACAGATACTCTTTACACAGTTTATACATATACTAATCTGGGTACTATGAGGTTATTACGAGAATACCGAAAAGTATGCCTGAAGGCAGTATGGGGGATCGTATTGACATATACATGTATATAGCATAAATTGATGTGCTCCTGTTATGCCTGAGTGCATACTTTGTCATATTCTTGTTATAACCTTATTAATATACATCGTTATTCTGCTTGTAGAAATAATTTATTGAGAGATAACAGTACAAAATGGCAACGAAAGACGTATTGCACAGTACGTACATAAGCGATCAGTGACAGGGAATGTATTTTTACTGTATGCTGTGTCTGATGTGAACAAAAGAAAGTGTTCAAATGTGATGTAAACTTAGCAAACAATTTCCAAATAAAGAAGATAAAACGCATTTGTAACACTTTTGAATGTTTTGCAAAAAGATGAATTCTTAGTCTATTGTGAGATTTATAATAATGTAAAATATTTTATTTTCACTGAATCAGTGAAAATAAAATCCAGCAAAACTACTTTTCCCCTATATTTTACATTGAACTGATCAAAAATCAGCAGAAATAAACTTTACACAAAACAGCCAAAATGTTTTTTTCAGCGAAAATAAAGTACTTCACTATAGTAATTTATTCGCATTGCTGGCCATATTACAGGTTTGATGTACAGGAATTAAAGACACCACAGTATCAACTCATAAATGAGTAAACAAACTTTAAACTCGGCTAGAAATATATAATTACTTACCTGATTGTACTGATGTAAGTCGTGTCCATATTCTTGGTTCCTGTTTGACTAAATCAAATTTGATGGCACCGTTACCAACTTGAGCTGAGCCTTTCCCATCATCAACTGGCTCAAAGAGAGCAACTTCAAATATATAAGGAGGGAAACTAACCTGGAAAAGAAGAGTATGAATAATGTTTTAAAATGTATTGGAGAACATTTTACCAAAACCATTTCATGTTCGCACATGTGAGATTAATTCCACACTGGTGATTCCACCACACTCCCAGTGACTTGGAGTGTGAGGAATTCCATACTATTGCAAATTCCACACTCCAAGTGACTAGAGATGTGAGAAATTCCATACTATCGCAAAGTACAATTCCACACTCCCAGTGACTAGGAATGTGGGAAATTCCATACTGGTACTATCACAAAGTACATTTCCACACTCCCAGTGACTAGGAATGTGGGAAATTCCATACTATCACAAAGTACAATTCCACACTCCCAGTGACTAGGAATGTGGGAAATTCCATACTATCACAAAGTACAATTCCACACTCCCAGTGACTAGGAATGTGGGAAATTCCATACTATCACAAAGTACAATTCCACACTCCCAGTGACTAGGAATGTGGGAAATTCCATACTATCACAAAGTACAATTCCACACTCCCAGTGACTAGGAATGTGGGAAATTCCATACTATCACAAAGTACAATTCCACACTCCCAGTGACTAGGAATGTGGGAAATTCCATACTATCACAAAGTACAATTCCACACTCCCAGTGACTAGGAATGTGGGAAATTCCATACTATCACAAAGTACAATTCCACACTCCCAGTGACTAAGAATGTGAGAAATTCCATACTATCACAAAGTACAATTCCACACTCCCAGTGACTAAGAATGTGAGAAATTCCATACTATCAGGATAGCGCATTAAACAGCCGTCATGTGTGTAGTCCCAAAACATGAATATTGCTTCTGTGGCAAAAATGCACTATATGTATATGTCAGCACTTGCAACTTGCACATATAAAAAAAGTCAGGAGAGACAACAGTGACATTCAATGTCCAGAACTGTTGCCAGGCGCAAAAAAACATTTAAAAAAAAAGTTCCCTTTCCATGATATTTTGTTGCATACTAAGCTGCTAGTGTGTATCGTTAAATTTTCATTGTACATTTAGATGGTAATTATTTTAATATCACTGATTGGGTGATTCCATCTAATGGGAGATGATATTGAAACCATAGAGCAGCAGTACAAGACAACAATGTATAATAATGTTTATTAACTCATAATATCTCCTAAGGAAGACAAAAATGATCAAAGATAACAAAAAAAACAAAAGCAAAGAAAAGACAAACAATGTTCCAAACGCATTCAAAACACAGTTACTGTATGGTAATAAAACTGGCATACATTTGTTGCTTATAATGGAAATAAATTTATCATTCTCACTACTGGTTCCAAAATAATTATTATGGGAATTTCTGCTTTATTAAATGCAGTTTATTTGCCCTGTATGCTGGACAATTCATAACAAAGGTGTTTTTCATCCTTAACTCCGTTTTGTGTACATGTGGTCACATGTTCAAGAATTAACTGTAATCTGTATATGTCTGCCATTTCCAATTTTAAGACAATGATTATTAACTCTAAATTTAGTTAAGGTGATACATTGCTGAACATTATGATTAGTGATATCAAGAAAGTGAATTTCTGCGTTAAATTTGTTAACCATTCTGTATATCCTTGACTTATTGGAGGAACCAACTTGCTTTCTATTGTCATTATGGATATCATTCTTCCACTGTTTTTTCAAATAATATATGTATATTTAATTTCTTGTGAACTTTAGTCATGCATTATGTTGAAAGACTCTCACTGGAGGATATGATTTGGTCATATTGCTCTTGTTGTTTTTATTAACAGTGTAGGCATCCTTCGGTAATGTAGTTTAAGGAATATGTCCAGTGAGTACCTCCCCACTTAACCATAGATTTCCATTTTGACGAGTATAAAATAACACAGTTATATTGACTTGTTTGTTGTGGGAACCTTATTATTGTGTAAATTAAATGCATTGTTATGCATTTTTTTTATATAGTCTACAAGTCCCAAAACTAACTTGTCACATATCTTATGAAGAATGTTAAAAAACTTGTTGATCATCTTTCACAAAAAACTGTAAAAACATTGTTGGTTACAGAAACCTTCCCCATCTGGAATGACAACCCAGTTTTGATTTAGCTGGATATGAAAACTTGCATACATGTACATGTAGGCTTTTTCCTCAGCTCCTGAGAGCGAGGTTATTTGTAGATATGTTGGCGATCGCCACTGTGTCTGCGAAAGTACTATGGGAGATTGCATGATGGGAGTGAAAAGTCTTTTGATCAGTAAAATAATTTTAGAAAAGTGAAAAATAAAGTGACTGTGAAATAAAGGTTGGTTTTAAATATCATGACATTTGGATGCAATAATGAAAGGAAATTGAATTGGTATGAAAGGGCAGTACATGTAGCCGGAACGCAAGGTCAGAATCCGGAGTCAAAATACGTCACAATACATACATCCATCAAGGCGGTTGCTAAGTGTCAACAACTATGGATGAGGTAAAAGACGTCGTTTGCAGTTTGCGTGAATGGCCGGAGAGAAAAAAAATCATGCAAATTCTGTACTTCAGTAACAGTATTTGCTACTTTTTTTGTGCAATGGAAATTAATACAAGAAATGCTGCCACGAAAATCCCTTGTGGCAGTCGTTGTGAAACAATAGACATGCTTCGCCAGGGTATCAAGGTTATTTTGACTATTTGAAGATGAAAACTGCTGCTTTATGGAAGAGCAAAGTTCAATGTCATTGGCACAGTAATGACGATTTTAGAGGGGTGACTCACTAGAAGTATTCGCCGTGACTCCAGACTTTTCATTCGGGTTTATACAACACTTACTTGTTACTATCAAGAAAGTTAAATGTCTTGTTTGTATTTTCACAATCTCAATGAGGGGTTTATCGTCAAAATATATACAGGTGCTTGTACATGTATGCCTGGTGAAACTATACAAAATTCGACCAATGCACATCCGTTTTATGTGTTAAAAAAACATTGCGATGTTCTCAAGAAATTGTTAAATCTTGGTATCATTCCCAACTGTCACCAAACTGTATGTTTTGACGACTCATAGGCACTTCTGGGACTTGTAATAATTTTCTGGAAACTGTACAGCAAATCACATATTTTCCTTATTAACTGTTCATAGTTTTTCTGAATTTCAGTTTTTATTGTTCATAATTATTTACAGTAATAACAATAACATATTTTTCTGATTGTGTGCACGACAGCTTTGCCCACACACGATAAGACAGGATGATATGTACGGATATGTGCGAGTATGTTGGAAATATCACTTGCTGTTTATCATCCATATTTTGATATCCCACAATGTGTCGATTGCGTATCTGCAAATTCTGACTACTATTTCGCGAAATTTGACCAGCCTTGCTTCTACCAGTCATTTAAGTCAACTCCCATATTGTCCTTCACAGAGGTAACACTACAATACATTTCCCTTCACATTCCCCGGTATAAGAATATTTGAGCTGAGGCAGTTATGGTTCTACAACCATCACCAGTTCTCTTGTTTTGTTTTGCAATTACAATGTACTCAACAATGGGTGAAATAACCCTACATGGATGTGAAGTATGGGCTGAAGAAAGTTCATTCAACTCTACTATAGAAGATGTACACCTCAGCTTTTATCGCTTCATCCTCGGCGTTTCAAAAAACACTCCGAAATTGAGAATTTATAGTGAGTTGGGTAGATATCCTATCGATTTATTCATTAAAAAACAGTTAATAAAATATACAAACCACCTAAACAAAATTCAAAACCCCATTATTAAGGAAGCCTTCCTACTTAACAAGACTATAAAAAGTAAGTGGTACAATGAACTTAACTCAGTACTGAAATCTACAAATACAACACTATCAGATATTGACAATAATGAGCTATAAATCGTCACAAATGTCACGGA